ACATTGTTTCAGTCCATTATGGAGTTGTTAGTTGAACACTGGAAGTCCTTACTTATTTGATGTTGGAGTGGGAGGAAGAAAGAGACGGTAGGGCAGGGGGGTGGGGTGGTACAAGGAAAATAGAAACCTGGAGTAGGAAAAGTATCATCGGACCACAAACCAATCAAAGTAATTAAACTGAGTTGCTTCACTGCCAGAAAACAAAATAAGCTGTTCTGTTATTTTGGCTTTTCCTGATTGTGAATTTTGTTGTTTATTATGGGAAACAGTGGTGGAGCTAGGATTTTTAATATATCTGGAGTCAAAATTCTAAAGGAGTAGACCTACGAAGAAGTTAAGGGGAGTCAATATGTACTATATATCCATAAAAAGGAATTTTTTTACCTAGCTACACAGTGGAATCTTCTTCTTCGTCACCCCTGGAATACATGTGGAGGAGATTCCGAGATATAAATGCAAATATTTGAAGATTTTGTGGTGGTTGGGGGTATCTAGCTGTGAGGATTTCTAAAGCAGACAAATTTTCATGGTCATCGGATTATATATGGAAGGAGACAGATACTAGAATCTTCTCTAACTGTGCAATTAGAATCTTTGTTTTTTGACTTTTGCTTCTTGACATGAGTTTGTAGCTTCACTCCTTTAATCATTTCATTATCTCTGAGAAAGGTCTAGAATATTTTACTCCTTCAGGCTTCGTCCTTTTTTATATGGAAAGACTTGATTGAACATTGTAAATAAGATGTTAATTTTGACTTGCAACTATATTACTGCTTCTGGAGAAAACATGAATTTAATAGAAAAACATTACATCAAAGTTTAAAATTTAAACCACTTTATCAATTTGAATTCTTGAAAATTGTGAAAGCTGTACAAAAACAGAATGGTATCAATCATGATTAGACGTCATAAGAATGAGTAAGATAGAGTAATAATTTGAACTTAAATGTCTGGTAATGCTCATAAATATTAGTTCGTAGAGTGATTAATTATCACTCACAAGTAGCATTTCGATGTGATTCGTATATATTGACTTTCGAAACTTTTTCTCTAGAAATTGACCCAATCTTATCAAATTACATCTCTTTTAGCATGGTTGGAGGTGTAGGTATCTAATATGTCTGCCAATGTGCTGAGGAGGGGGGTTGTGTGTGTTGATGTGCGCACAATCTGTCCAGGATACCACCACTATAAAAAATAAAATGTGAGCTTACGCTGATGTTTTTGTGAGCTGAAAGGTGTTACCTTTATGAATATTTGACCTAGTCTTAGTTCATAGTTGCTTAAATTAATTTTACGTCCCTGTGATCTTACACATCAAACTTGGGAAATAGAACATGTTGAGAGAAATACAACACCTCGTGCTTGTTTGGTTTTCGAATTCTAAAATGTTCTATCCTCTGATCAAGAACTTCTTTATTGGTTAGAGTTGCTTCAAAGGACTTCAACCAGTTCAAGAGTTCCGGTTCATGCAAAGCAACCTGAGAAAAGAGTTCTTACTTCTTACAGTAAACTTCATGTAAAGGAGTTTCTAGGAGAGAGAGAAGGATGTTTTTTCCTTGACTTCTAGCTGCAAAAGTTCAAATAACACTCCTAATATGTGAAGCCACAAAATAATGGCTACTGAAAGTCTTGCCTAAATGAATTATGAATCTTCTTCATGAAAACACTTTATTAGTGTCAAAACATATCATTTTTTTGAAAATGGCAACTTTTTTGTCAAACATATCATTTAAAAAGCACATTTACTATATTTGCAATTTCTCTACATATGCATGTGATTATTCAGAACATATTTTTTCCCGAGTTTCTCCTGACTCATATCTGTGAAAGGAAGCTCATTTATAGTGATAAGTCTGTCATATATACTGCTTAATTTATCACCTAATAGAGAACTAGAAATGGCATGAGCTTTGTGGTATATCTTATGAACCCCCTTTGCTAATGGAGAATCAAATCTTTCTCTATTTAAATTATGTACTCTTGTCCAGTAGATATGTTATTTCCCATCACACACTGCCATATCGAACTTAGATGATCTGTAAAATGTTCTTTCCACACAGACATAAATGTGTAGTATACAAGCTGATTCGAATTGGTAAGAAAAGGCCTTCCATTTAGGAATTATCAGTTCCATATGACCTGATTAGATCTAAAAATAATCATTTTTGGGCTCTCTAAGGATTCTAGAACTTTAATGAGGAAGCACGCAATGCAGATTGAACATCTCAGTCACTGGATTTTTCACTGTATATAAGACTTGAGTTGTGTAAAGCAGGGTTGATCAGTTGATATATTCTGATTGCTCAGTAACCTAAATATTACATATGTGAGTTGCAGGTAGAAAATTACAAGAATCTTTCTGTTAACTTAGATATGTACTACGTGGAACTCAATACTCTTCCTGATTGTTTCTCCCTCTACTTCTTGTTGTTTCTATGAATGTTTGTGCACCAACGCAAATGTGATTCGTGCAACCATTAGGCTTTGCTTGAGTATCTCCAATGTGGTTAATAAAAAATAGTGAATACTTCTATCTGTTCGTCCAGTGTTGGCAATTTTAGTTGAGCTAATACTTGGTGATAGTGTGTCAACCTGTATAGATGATAGGCTAAGACATTTTGGGGGGCTTGACATGTGTTGTATTAATATGTGCATGATACATCTGAGACCAATGTGGTGTAACATTAAATAATCCTGAATTATTAAAAAGGAAAACAAAAAAGATATGTGCTACGGATGTGATCCGGGTTAAGAGTTGTGCTTCTTTTTTCTTCTATATGATAGCAAAGCTCTTATGCTCTAGAATCCTTGAACAAATTTTAGTTGCACAAAGTCCAACAGGATACTGTAAATATGGACCTTATACATTAATGGAATATCCTTCGACTCCTTTTGATGTTGTGTTTCTTTCCCAGGGTCTCCCTTCCTTCTTTGAGCCCTTACCTTAATTTGACAGCTGCTGTGCTTTCCGTTATTTGGACAGTTATCTTCCACATGTCGTGCCATATCTGGTGGCATTGCCTCAATCTTCTTCGCAAGGGTTTAAGGCTAGGAGTGGTTGGTCTCAGTTGTTTTTCATGTTCCAACATCAGACATGATACAGTATCTATTTCTTGCTGATTGTTACTTGTTTTGTTTTACTTATAATAACCAACAAATCCATGAGGGCTAGTGGCCTACAGTTCAAAACTTGGTGGATAATGGATCCACTCATTTACCATTCTCCTCTCAAGTACCCGACTTTTGTTTGTGATAGGAATCTAAGCCATGATGTGCGCCTAACCCATAAATTGGGCTCTTGTCACTGATCAAAGCCTTTGGGCAAATTTTTATTTGTTTATTAAGCCTTCTTCTGTAGATAACCGACAATACATACTACAAAATTGCTGATGATGTAACATGTGCAGGAAGAACTTGAATTGCTTGACAAAATGGAAAAGGCATCAGCTGCTTGCAAGGAGTAAGTACAAGCATAATATATTTAACTTGATATCTGTAAAGCTTTGAGACAGTAGATCATCCCACTCCTTCTCTGGGTATGGAGCCGATCGTGCATGCCCCAAGGCCCCTTTTTGTAACATGATCTGCACAAAAGCATTGGCTAGATGACTTACTTTCTGTTCAGTGCATGTTATGGTTATCTAACTTGATTCTCTTACATGGGCTTAGGATGCTAAGTAATGTGGAAACAAGGCCAGATCCATTACTACCAATGTAAGCATTACCCTTCATTTATCGCAGCGTCTTATGAGTGTCATATTTCGCTAAATTTTATGATATTTCCTCCACCAGAACACACGGTCCAACAAATCCTTCTTGGGATCGATGGTTTGAAGGAGCACAAGACGCATCAGGTTGCAGATGCTGGATATTGTGAATTTGTCATCTGATTTTGGAAGTTCTACTGATTGGAGAGGAAGTTGAAGTGTTTGTATTCACAGTTTGTTGCCTTATACAGAGGTCTTATGTGCAGAAAATGAACATTTTTTTTTTAAAAGTATTCCTCAAGAGTTGAAATTCAAGATTTCTAATCTTTATTGCTAGGTCACTCAGCATTGTGCAGATGACATTTTCTAATTTCTATTGTAACATCATAATGACAAGTAAAGTATTTGTTGTGGTTAGAAATGATTCATAATACCTGTCTCAGTTGCTAAACCTTCAATCAAGAACCACTGTATGTTATTTGTTTCAACGTTTATTTTGGAGTTGACATGAGTTGAACATAAATAAAATATCGAGGATTCATATAGGCAATCTCAATCTATTCGAGACCGAGGCATAGTTGTTTGATTTGGAGCTAAATAAGTAATTGTGCAAGAGAGAGCTCGTGGCTGTATATTTTTTATCAAATTGATTCCTAACAAGAACAAGATTGGCAAATCATCTCCACAAACATGAGCCAATACAACACTTATTTTGAGACGGAAGAAAGTAACAAAATTTTGGAAAAACTACTAGACGTACATCTATACTGCCAAATTTAAATATATTTTCAAATAATTATGTATTTTATGACTAATTAAGAGTTTTCTATCATATATTCAGAAGGATACACCTAGATACATGTATTTTTGCTAGCAGATAAATACATTAAAATAGGGAGAGAGATGAGCGAAAACATGAAGTAATTAAGTGAGATTCGTCTATGTATTCAAGATATATGTGAATCATCATAACTAGGATACACACTAAATAGGTATATGTACCTGTTTGTATTTCGTGTGATTTACATATATAGATATGTGTATCTGTTTGTATCTCGTGTGATTCACATGTATCTTGAACAAGAAGATACAAATCCACTTACTGTGTATCTAGAATATAAATTATACCTAATTTTGACTATTTGTATTTCAAAATGTATGTAAACATATATCTGATAAAATTCATGATATTAAATCAAAATATATCTAAATAATTAGCTCTTTAGATTTTCGAAAAATTTAAAGTTGGTATACCACAAAATCCACTTTTATCCGACCCATATAAGACACCTTCTCCATTTCTTCCATTCCCCAAAAATCAGAAATGGCAACTGGTTCTTCTTCTCGTCCTCCACAGAAAACCTACGATCTCGAAATCACCATCGTCTCCGCCAAGCATCTGAAAAATGTCAATTGGCATCACGGCGATCTCAAGCCCTATGTTATCTTTTGGGTCGACCCGGATCAACGACGCGCCACACAAGCTGATGATTCCGGCAATACCCGACCCGTTTGGAACGAACGATTCGTCCTCCATCTTCCCCAATCTCAATCTCCTCCTCACGATGCTGTTCTTACTCTTGAGGTCTTCCATTCAAAACCTTCGGAAACTCCCAAACCTTTAGTCGGTACACTTAGGGTTCCGTTGAAGGAACTGGTTAACGTCGACGATTTCAACAAAATCAGAACTTTTGAGCTCCGGCGACCTTCCGGTCGGCCTCATGGTAAGATCCGACTCAAGCTTGCTATTCGTGAATTATCTCCACCCCTCGATTACCAAATACCCCCTCCTTGTAGTTATTATTACTCTACTGCCCCCCCTCCTCCTCCCCCTTCCTACAGAGCATTTCCTTCTTCCCCATACCCCTCACACCCTCATCCTCCTCCGTCGCCTGTAGTTGCACCGCCGCCACCTGCTTCTCCATCACCACCACCTCCTCCTCCGCAGCAACATTCTTTTCCTTACAGTGGATTCGCTGATCCTTACTCTAGTTACTTCCCTGGGTATTACTCTCAACCTCCCCCTCCTCCACGACCATTTGTTGAGCGGCAATCTAGCTATAACAGTTTGGGCTCGAGGCCAAGCGCCCCTGTTGATTATTACCCTCCTTATGATCAGAAGCGTAGTGGGAAAATGGGGACGGGGTTAGGCACCGGATTGGCGGTTGGAGCAGTGGCTGGTACATTGGGAGGATTGACATTAGGGGAAGGATTGAAGTATGAAGAAGCCAAGATTGCAGAGAGAGTTGAAAACAACATAGCAACCAGAGATGATTACAGCAATTACAGTGAATATTGATGCTGATGCTTCTCACTGGATGAAGTTCTCTATACTAATGGGTAATCAATCTTGCGCTGTATTTTGTATATATAAAGCTCGTTCATTTTCAATGGATTCCTCCTCTTAATGATATGATGAATTATGTCAGTTCAGCTGTTTTTGAGTTTCTTCTATGAAGGATTCTACTGGTAGACTGATATATGTAATTCTACTTCTATCTGGTTGTTTCATGATGTAGCGTGGTATGTTCGATGAATGTATTGTTTGGATAGATTATTATATCGTTTTTAACCTAACTCGTAATATCATGGATGCATTTATCTATAAAGCCAAACTTGAAGAGTCAAAAACACACTTACATTAATTTTTTCATTTGAGTTTCATATCTAAATTATTGAAAGCGTGCTTCTCATATCTACACTAACGCGCAATCTTGTTGGATATGTAATATACATGACATAATTTGTTTGCAAGGATTCGTACCATGGGTAAAGGATTTGCCTATAGGAAATATTCATATCCTATATATATACATATAGAATTTCGAGTGTCTTCTCGATCATACATACTATTTCGTAGTGGTGATGGATAAATTGACATGATATATTCAAGAAATATTATATTGTTTGTTATTTGCAAACGATATTAATTGATGAGACATGCGATGAACTCAACCATAGACTAAAGATTTGAAAGCAAGACCTCAAGAGTCTAAAAACTGTAGTTTGAGGTGTTGTGCACAATGTAAACTTTGTAGAGTAGTTGTTGGATCGACTATAGTGTTAGTTAAAAATTCGTGCGATCAAAAGATGAAGTTAATATAAACGAGGATGCTTCGATGACTGTGTGAGCATGTGGAATAAATAAGATCATGAGCTGAGACGATAAAAAGGAATTAAAGAGAAGTGATTACAAATGTCACAACACATTATCATTTTATCAAAAACATGACTTTAAATAGGAGAGTTTTTTTTATCGAATTTCCCCAAAGAGACTGAATAGAGAGCTTGACGATGAAAAATTTAGAGTTGATAATTTGTAGGTAGTCAAGTATTTTCTATGTTCCAATGGTAGAATCTTATTCTTCGATTTTATTAATATTTTACTTTGGTTGTCTCTAGCATTTTCTTTAATATTTTTATGGCCAAATACATACGCAGGTCCCTAAAGTTGTTCGCGTTTTTCCCCCAGGTACCTCAACTAACCAAGATTCCTATTAAATCCTTTAACCCCCTATAATTTGATCCTTTTAAATATTCTTGGCTGATGTGGAGCCAAATTTTAATAAATTATTTTTGATAATTAGGCGCGTGAGATGAACCTTTCCCACGTGGAAATTTTGACCAATACACTCCAACCCAATTACACGTCAGTGCCACATATTAAGTCATCAATATGTGGCACACGACGGCGACGGCGACGGAGAAGAGAGAGGAAGATGGGGAAGTGACACAGAGGTCACCGATTAGAGTACATAGGAAAAGGCAAAACACTGGAGATCTCAATGGAGTTAGAGAGAGAAGTTTTCGGTCTCAGACGGGAAGATCGGCGCCGTCTCCGGAGAAAAGAAGGTCGCCGGCTTCGTCAAGGGGAGTACAGGGGAGGGGAATGCCGCAACAAAGGCGTAATGTGGGACCCCAAATGGACCCCGACGCGGTCCCAACAAAAATGGGGTTCGGCGGTCAAATTCTCCGGCGAAACGTAGACCGGTGGATGCACGTCGGAATGTGAGAAACAGAAGTCCGACGGCGCGTGAAGCAGAAAAACCTGGTAATCAATCGCCGGCGAGAAACGGCGAGAATGAGGGAAGTAGTAGTAAAACTGAAAAACCCAAAGAAGAAGTTTCGCCGGTAACTGGCGAATCACTTGAAAATCCTCTGGTTTTAATGGGATGCTTCATTTTTAGGTTTGATGACAAAAACATATTAAGTCATCAAACCTAAAAATCAATTTCCCCCCAAATCACTTCTAACCCGTTTTTAAACGAGAAAACCCTAAGAATATCTTCCTTTCAATGACTTTTACAGCTGAAATTCTTAGATTTTAAAGTGATTTCGAGTGGATTAAAGTGAAATTCTTAGATTTTAAAGTGATTAAAGTGATGAAATTCTTAGATTTTAAAGTGATAAAAGTGAAAATTCTTACATTGGAACTTGATGATTAAGAAGAAATCAATGAAAAAAAGATATAATATAATGAGCTAAATAGGAGAAATAATGATGAAGAGAAACAAAAGAGGAGAAAAAATGGAAGAATGGAGAAATTAGGGTTAAAAGGGGGAAGAAGTTAGTTGGTGGGTGGTTCAAGATCCATTATCAGCGCTTTTAAAGAGTCTGCACGCGCTTAAAGGACATGAAATCACGTTTGGCTCCACATCAGCCTAGAATATTTAAAAGGATCAAATTATAGGGGGTTAAAGGATTTAATAGGAATCTTGGTTAGTTGAGGTACCTGGGGGAAAAGCGCGAACAACTTTAGGCACCTGCGTATGTATTTGGCCTATTTTTATCATAATTTTCTCTTACATTTATTTTATATCATGTTATGAAAATTCAAGGATCCATCAAAAATTATCTCTCTATCTTACATAGGTAAAAGATATAGTTATGAAAAAATCCATCCTTTGCACATTTCACTTGTAAAACTATATTGGATGTTATTGGTGTTTTAATGTTTTCTGATTGAAAATTAGATTCTTATGATTTTGTTAGGTTTGCACTCAGAAATTATTATATATTATTCTTTTTGTTTCAATTTGTTTGTCTTACTTTCTTCTTCTCTGTTTAAAAAAATGTAACATTTAAAATTTAATTTTCACATTTTTAATTTAAAATAATAAATTAAATATTAGTTCTTTCAACTTTTTGACATTCTGTAAAATGAAAGTCGCACAAATAAATTAAAGATATAATACATAAATCGGACCCTTAACTTGGCTTTAAATTATAATTTTGACCTTTAACTTTGTCAGTGCATAAATTGACACTTTTACTATTTAAAACTTCAATAAAAAAACACTCAAATTCTACCTGGCAAAATGCGTGAAATACACCCAAATTAGGCGCGTCAGAGATAAAATTTGAGAATTCCAACGGTAAAAAACCCTTAATCAATTCTTCTCTCTATATATATACATATATTGATTTTTTTAACATGAAATTTCACTTTTTTTCTCTTTCTAATTTTTTTTGAACATTTTCCCCTTTTTTCTGGCATTATTTGTTATTTATTGCAAATAATGCACAAATTACAAGTGACATTTAATTATTTTTTGTTATTGTAAAAAAGAAGAAGCTATAATGACGTTTTTTTCCCCTATATCTATTGTAAGCAAGATGGGCTAAGTACATAACTGTAAAAATCGAATACAATTTATGTCCGAAGACTCTAAATCAACTACTCCAATCCACACTTACGAGACTTCTTATATTTTGATTAGGTATCAAATTGCTATTCAAACTTAACAAAAATCTTTGAAAAGTTCATTTAGACATTTATCAAAACAATTTAAGTGCACCATTTTACTTAATAAATTTTAGCATTCTATGTTTATTTCTTAGCCTCTAAAAATTCGTAATTGTAATTTGCTACTTACTATAACAATCATAATATACAAACATCTTTTATTTTTTCATTAAATATTTGACAACTTAAAACACAAAGATACTGCAAACTTAAGAAAGAAGAATAAGTTGGTTGATTTCCGTGACTTCCTATATCTATGGGCTGCTCTGAAATAATTTTGCAACAAAAACGTTAGCTTCCTCTAGTTATTCCCATTTTAGCTTGAACATTTAATCAAAAATATGCAATTCTTGTTTATAAAGTGTTGAACTTAGATACCTTCACTAAATTAAGAAAGAAAGAATAGGTAATCATTCAAGTTATGAATTTTCTGCACATATCTTAAACAATTTTTTCTTTGATTTTGATTTGAATATAAGGGTATGAATTTCAGAAATTCAGATTAGAGTTTTTTTTAAGGAGAAAGAGGAGAAGAGCTGGTAAAAACAATTCCAGAAATGAATTTGTTTTCTTTTTCACCTTATTTTATATTATAATTTATTTTATTATTTTAAAATCTAGGTGTATTTATTTTAGTTAGGTGGTTGCAACTTACTGGTTCACCTATCCACGTCGGGTGTTTTTTTTAAAATAAATTTTAGATAGTTAGAGTGTTTTTTTGTGTATTATCAAAGTTAAAAGATCAAATTTATTATTTGAAGTTAAATTAAGGGCGTATATATATATATATATACACACACACCTACATTAAAATAGAAAGGAGTATATATTTAAGAGCAAAAATGTACTTAATTTTGATAAACTTAATGTCCTATGTGTATTTAAATGTAGACATTAAAATGAAAAGGAGTATATATTCAAAGAAGACCAGAAATGTACTTAATTTGATAAACTTAATGTTCCTATGTGTATTTAAATGTAGACATGTAGATTCTTATGCATATCTTATTATTTAGATTAAGGTTGTTTAAAATTTAATGGGAATCAATAATTTAAATCAATTTTTTAAAATTAAATTATTGATAATGAGTTAATGATTAAGCAGTTTCGATAACGATTTTGACTTGTCTTTATTATTGGGTTATCAATTCTTAACAGTTTGAGATTCTTTTTCTTAACGAGTTAATCGATAATCTGACAGTATATTAAATAATTATATTTATACCATTTAGTATATAAAATTCTTCACTTAAAGTTAAGTCTCATACTTTTATTTCTGACTGTCTGTGCCTTTCAATTTCTCGATTATTTTACATTATGACATTGTTTGCTTTTAATTAAAATAAAATCTGCCAACTCATTTGTATGATGTGTTATTTTTTTTAATCAAATCTTAATGGATAAATCAATAATCGAATAGATAACGATTAATTATCAATACACAAATAACAGATAAGTTAATATCTTAATGATTCTTTAATAGTTTAGCATGTGTGTAAATCAATAAACGATAAACTTCAAAATTAAACCGATTAACATACAATTTTATGCTTATTCAAATTCAAACGTCTTCTACGACGAGGCTTAAAAGTGGTATAAAATCTATTTGTTGGACCATTTTAAACCTACCTAAACATGAGGGACTAGTTTTGTTTATTTTTTGTTAGTAGATCCTCCTAAATCCTTTGTTAATGTTTGTTCAACGATAATAACAAAGTTCTCCTGCCTCGCTATCTCCGCCTACCTTTTACTCCCTATTTAAATTGCTCACTCCAATTCTCTCTCAGCTCCCGTCGTTAACTACCACCGCCGTC